TCTTTTCTTCATCTTAATTCGCAATCACTGAATTGATTCCTATAAATTTCGAAAACTCAAAAGACACGTGTTGGAAATTAAGCATCCTTAACGATAAATCGTTAAAATCGCTAACACCAACATCTCACATATGAGAATTATTGAAAGAGATAAAAACAAACACCGGATACATGTAGATCCACGGCTGGGAAGAAAACGAGAGCTGGCCAACGCCGCTAGTGTTAGCCGGACACTGCCAGACGAAAACCGGCCATCTCCGCTAACGGAGCCAGAAGATGCCGGGCTAAAGCCCGATTCAATCGGGACGGCGGTTCACCGGAAACATTCCGGTCGGCGGAAACAGATAGTTCCTCTCTCTAAAAAGTATTAGTAAAAAAATTTATAAATAGACTTACACATATATATAATATAATTCTTTATAAATATAATTATAAATAATTTATGTATATATATAAAGAAATTTAGGCATATATATAATTTATTTACCTAAGAAGTATATGTATCTTATATTAAAACAATTTCCAAAGTAAATTTATTTTGGTTGCAAAATCTAAGAATTGAAGTTGTAAAAATTTAGAATTATGATTGATGTTATTAAATAGAACGGTTTGAAAACCAATTCAAATTTTTTTTCATCAAATATGGAGATGTTAAAACATAATATTGTAGGTGCATTAAAACATTTTAAATTGAAAATAGTTATATATAAATATCATGCAATAAAATTTTAGTATATAATAAAATTACAAATTAAATTTTAAATATTGTAATGATTTATATTATACAAATGAAGTTGCATTTAGATCATTCATAATTTTACTCATATATATTTCCGGTTTTAATTAAAAATTATATAATATATAAGAGAAATATTTAATGCTGAAATGCATATAATATATGTTTTATATTGTTTAATTTTTTTAATTAAAATACAATGCATTGAATATAAATTAAATCTTTATATAGAAGTTTGCTTTTTTGAAAATTTAAAATATTTAATTCTGGCACATTTAATTACATAGTATATATAAAGTCGATTACAACTCTACATCGCTGCTGTTACATCTAAAGTCAATTCATCATATTCGTGTTGCGTTTGACTTCAGAATAAATTTATTTCCAACAAGTATTTTTTTAAGAAGAGCTAATTAACCAACCCTTCTAGTTGTTAAGGATGGGCACAAATAGGTGTTACTTGTCTTGTACCCGCAATCCGCCTTGTATCCACTTTAAGTACTAGTCGGGATCAAGATGAATACGTGACAAGTATCAAATATGAAGTTGATGTTTAAAATTACAACAATCTAAAAGTTTGGGGATTAAATGATATTTTTCCTCTTTATTTATTACTTGTTACCCATTAAATTAATATTCGTCACTCATTGGTAACTTTTCAACTTTAAGTTGTCCCACATTGGTAAAACATAGTTGGAAGGGTCGACAATTTTTGTTGTTAGTTAAACCCTTCATCCTTCTGTTGGGGAATAATGGTCAAATAGTTGACATGAACTTGGACTTTTAATCGTTAAGGCTAATAGCCTAATAGTATAATTATTATGCATTCACCTTAAGTAAAATAACGGGTATTGGACAGTTTATGGTTGAGTACTTGAAATTCTAAGTATCCGTTTCAACTGGGTCCAAATACGAATCATATTTGGTTTATTGATTTAAGGTGGATCGGGTAGTAACTAGCAAGTACTCATAAATGGCAGATATTTTCCTTGTGTCTACCGATCAATGAAATAAAATATATGGCACATGTTGATTGGTTTTCAAACTTACTTTTTTTTTATATATATATACATATAACTCAGTGATCCTAAAAACTTTCTAGATCCAAAAATTAATAATCGGGTTCAGAAAAACCATGTTAGAATTCGAATCCCGGTCGCCATTTTTTTATTTTTTTTTTAAATGATATTTTTTAAGATTTTAAGATAATTTTAGTATGAAAAAGGCCCAAATATATATTTTTAGTATGAAAAAGACCAATTTTAAAGATTTTTTTAACATGAAAAAGGCCAAAAAAAAAATTTCTATGAAGAAATGGCCAATTTTAAAGATTTGTACAGGGACTCTAAATTAATTGAGCCGGTCCTGCTGATAGCATTTCAAATCTACGAAAAAATTGATTGACTTTGGCAAATTTAGAATAAAATGATAGGTCAAACCGAAGAAAAGAAAGAGAGAAGAAAATTTGAGAAGGCTGAACCACCCACAGATTTGGGATAGTAGTAAGAAATCAAAATTTTGAAAGCAATTCAACATGTAAAGAAAAAATATATATATATATATATATATATATATTAAAGTATTGTACAATGCCTAGTTACGTAGGTATAACAACATTAAACAAATGAGGTTCCATCAAAGGTTGAATAATCTCAGATTATCTCAATAGTTTTTGTAATTATCATTAAAACTAAATATGTTGTCTACTATATAATTTACGTTCTATATATCTGTTTATTTTTAATAGATTTATTACTTCATTAAATAGCTCAGCATAAGAGGGAAATAGTATGGAACATGTTTTTATTAAAAATACTTGCATTTCTTAAATAGTAAAGACTTCGCACAGAAATGAAATAAAGTATTATTTTACAGTAATAAATAATATTTAACGTTACAAATTACAAATTGAACCAATAAGCAGTATCAAGAAGATCAGCCCACAGGAACAAGTCCGTGGGTTTTTAAATTTCAATTATGAGGGCATGGACTTTTCTATTAGAATGTCATATCTCTACACTATATATACCATATACATATTGATTCTTATTTCATACACATAACAAAACTATATAAAAAAATTATATTGATTATTTTCCTTAAGGTTTTCTAGCTACGGAGTAGAAAGGATCAACTGAAATGGGGCGTTGGGTGAGACCTGAGGTTAGGAAAAATTATTTAATAAAATTTGCAAAAGTTCCCATGATCAAATAATTATTATAACTAAGGTGATAAATAAAGAAATTAATCTAATCTTAGTTTAGCTTTAACAGAAAATCAAATTGTTATGGCTATTTTAATTTTTCTTTTTCATCGGCTATTGTAATATTATGACCGGATTGTTTTAATATATTTTTCTAGAACCAGATGAATTTGCTAGTTTTACTTTTGTAATTTTTTTTTCGTGAATTGGACAACCGATCATGATGTGTTATTTTAAAAGTGTGATTGATATATACAAAGAATACAATCAAATATATTTGGTTTTATGATAAGAATAGTAAAATACCGATACATTAATTTTTTTAATATAAATTAAACGAAACAATTTAGGTGTACCCTCTTCTTGGAGCAATGGGATTTGTGACAACTATGGTTGTGTTCCAACTCACAAGAAACGCATTGTTAAACCCTGACTGCAGGTTAGTCTTGTCTTCATCGAATCTATTATTTTTTGGTAAATATATATTTACTCTTCTTAATATATTGTTTAGTAAAACGCATGTCATGAAAGATGCTTAATTACATTGTCAAAAATGAAAAATGGATAACCATTTTCCTTAATTAACTAAGGTACGTACTTGTTATAGGTGGACAACCACAATAAGTTTTAATCGTATTTGAACTTTAATATAATTAATTTATGACTAAAGTAACTATTTTAATATTTATATATTGTACTAATGCTTTTTGTTAGAAAACATTTGACAGAATAAATAAAGAGCATAGAAAAATGGGAATTCTAGAAAATGAAGACGAAGGAGAAAAATATGCACAACACAATTTTCGCAAGTATCTAAAGACCCGTCAACCTCAAGTTATGCCTTCACTCAACCGTTTCTTCTCTCAAGAGGACAACTAAATCTTATTACCTTGTTATGAATTAATGTTTCAGATCCTTGTTATTACCTTATTTTCCTTCAAAAAAAATTATATGCAATTGAAAGGAAAATAAGAATATGTCTAAATAAAATGTTGAAACATGTGACCCGAATCCAAAAAACACCCAAGTCGCTTTAGAAAATCAAATAGGTGAACTATGGTTCAAATGTTGTTGCTACTCATGTTTGATAGTAGCAAATCCCAAACTGGTCCAGGCACGGTTCATGTCATGATATAAGAACTAGGCCTGTGACTTTAAACCGAACGGTTCAGTTCGGTTTGGGTAGTCAGTTTTCGGGTAATTTGGTTAAGAGGTAAGCCTACCAAATATAACCAAGCAAAAAGTCGATTGGCATGGTTTTGTTAATTCGGTTCGGTTATCCGTACAAAAACTCGTTTCGGTTTGGTTTAGATAGCGATTTTTATTAGAGCATTCATAACAAAACCAAGAATATGAGTTTATGACAGTGGTAAAGCCCAACACAAGTCCATGTAATTATGTCTAATTAAGTAGCTTTATATATATAGTCTCTTGTAATGAACATCAATGGGTTAATTTTGAGAGTTGTCTCAAAACAACTCTCCTCCTTTATCTTTTATGAAATCAAATTAAGAATCATTTGATCTTGGTGACAATCTTAAGAGCTTTTCCTTTCTTTACTTTCTTTGCACAATAGAGCTCTTCATGAGTTATTCAAGTCCTTAGTTTATTTTTATCTTAATAAAGCTCATTTGAGCATAAATCTTCTTGTTTTTAGAGGAAATTTTGATATAATTTTAGGTTAATTCGATTTATGTTTAAAATCTTTAAATTTGAGCCATTTAAACATTTTTCAACGTGTATCAATATTTTTCTTTAAATTGCATATTTTTTTATTATATAACCTTCGCAAACAATTATATGTTTATAATAAAAATACAAATAAGTAAAAGTATTTTAAAATAAAAAGGTTGGATCACTAATGTGCTCTGTTTTCATTACCACTATAACTTTTGTATATTAACTCTTTTCTTTATCAATAAATTTAAAATTCTCATACAAAAAAAGCCGTTGAATATTATTTTTATTTAAAACTTTATTGTAAAAGTCTTGACATAGTAAAAAAAATTAGATATATTCTATATCAATATAATACGTTAAGGTAAAAAGACTTTGCACCTAGAAATTTCAAGATATTTTATTATACTATCGGTTTCGAAACAACTTAGAATAATGTCTATTTAAAATATGTACAAGAATAAAACATGAGCCCCTCTCACTTGGAAACATAATGCAGCACTAACCAAAAATCATACATATAAATGTTACTTCTATCACAAGGGAAGTAAGAAAACCTAACTTGGGCTACAAGGTCTATGCAAAGTCTCCAGAACAGTGAGCGAGCGAGTGAGAAAATAAGTGTTCATGAAGCTCTTAGAACAGTTTCCCAAGCACCGTACTTGGAGCTGAAAGTGCCTCCACCATATCGCTCTGCGTACTCAACCATTGTCGCTCTCGCACAATCATTCCACGTTTTAGCTATTTCTTTGACAGACCCTGGTTCTGAAAGTTCCCTCATGGACAAACTGAACCTTGATCTGGTTCTCGCCGATAGATCCTCATACTTGTGTACACTGAAACACGGGGATATAAATCCTTAAGATCTTATATGTTTTGTCCAACCCTTGTTAATTGATTTCTAAGAAAGTTTCATACCTTGTGTCAAAAGGAAAATCCTCGAGAATAATCGGGGAACTATATGGATAATCCATAGGAACTAGTAAGCGTAAAGGTTGAATCTGTGACTGCATCAAATATTGGAGACATCAAAAAACTGAGCAAAGGGAGAAAAAGAAGAAGTTTGGAGAGACTTACGATTTTTCCTGACTTGTAATGATCTTTGAATGTGGCACTGAGAGCCACTGGAGCATAAGTACACGTGACGATTGTTCCTGAAGCATCTTCATCGCATATCTCTACCACTGTCTCTACAAGTCTCCCGTTTGTTTCTTTGATTTCTTGCAAAAGGGCACAACCATGCTGCAAGATTGAAAACAAAATGGACTTATTTCGATGTTTCATTTGCTTTCGTAGTTCAATAAAACAGAGGAAATTACAGGTTGTAGATTTTACCGCAATATTGTTAACTTTCGAGCCTGATGACGCTGTGGAATCGACTTCAGATTCAAGGCTACTGAACTGTTCATAACTATCTATTTGTGCTGACATAACTCGCGGCACAGTGCTGATTGAGCGCTTCATTCTCTTAGACGGATTTGTTTCTTCGTGTGTCGTTAAGTTTCTTGTCCTCTCACTCAAATCTTCGCCTAAACCAGCTCGTGATCCTCCATCGGAATGGAATGATCCTGCAAACCTGTCAACCATACTGATGACCGCGCTAATCTCACTTACAGATTCCGCCAAGGATTTTGGTGATGCTGCTTGAAACTAGAAAACCACACACATCAAGAATTAGGTCAGTAAAATTGAATAAGCTATAGAGTTTATGATTTCTTTACTTACCGCTTTTATCAGTCGATCAATAGGCCGCTCTGTGATTGGCTCGGGAGGAACAGATAACAGAGGAGGCTCCTCTGTGCCAACTTTACAAGAAGAATCTAAGGTTGATTTTATTTCAACACCAGAAACTGGAGACTCAACGGATATAGGTCTTTCAGGATCCCCAGGAATCGGAGATGGAGCAACAAAAGGCGAGCCACCAGACATCAATGGGGTTTTGGTTTTGCTAACCGTCGTAGGAAGCATCTGCTGGTCAACTAACTGAGGAGAAGATTGATGCTGTATCTGAGGGGATGAAACGTTAGACTGTGGCTTTGGAGCCTGGAGCTGACTCGTTGAGACTTGTTGCTGAAGCAACCCGGCTTTAATGTTGACCCTTTGCCTCATCCTCACATCATTCATCTCATTTGTCTGTTGTGATGTCGGTATTTGATGCTGCTGATTCGCTTGTTGTGGTTGTTGTAACTGATTTTGTTGTTGCATTTGGCGATGATGGAATTGCTTCTGTTGCTGCAACGACTGAACCGAACTGATATTTGAGTGAACGGCCTGCGGATTCTGTTTAACAGAAGGTAACATGACATTTCCTGAGGAAGCCATAATGTTGTTCTCATCTCTTGGTTCCAGCTTAGGCCTTGTCTGCAACGAATGAGGCATTATCGAAGACGAGGCCCCATTTTGGCTACTTGGCATCAACCGCGAGGTCATTTGATCATTATCAAGAGACTGCGACACATGGACTTGAGAACTTTGGGATTGCAATGCTGTTTGGTGGTTGTGAGAAGGAGGAAAATGCCCTTGTTGCTGCTGCGTTGGCCTCGGAATTATGTGGCTCTGATTCTTGGTCAACTTCAATATGTGGTTCTCAAATGCACTAAACTTGTCTCTGTGCTTCTCTGATATATTGATCCTATGAACATGTAAGAAAACTATCATTTGTTCGATTGACAATTTGGCCCCCTTTAGCTTATCAATCGACTGATATTGCAGCTTCTCTGGCGGAAGAGATTCAATCTGGAAACAAAAAGAGACATGAAATAAATAAAAGAACTATCAGATCAAATTCTTGTCCCGGAAACGAAACAATTAGGTTATGAATGAAGTACCCGCTGCAATTTGTCCTTAACTCTTTGGAGCATTAGACTCAGAACAGGTAAATACATCTCTTTCAGGTGTTTTATCTGCAAGACGTATCATAATGGCATTATTAAAACTGGAAAATGTGAAAAGTTTGAACAAGGCGAGCGAAGATACCTTCTGATAAGTATCCTCCTGCCAGTCCCCGGCATTGGCATTTACCGTCTTTCCTGTAGACTCTTGAGATGCTACAAAGAGTTTCATTACCATAAAACATTATTAGAACTAGGATCATAGAAAAACATTATCACACAAGTTGGTAAGAGAGGAAACATACTAGATGGATTTGCCAGAGGTGCTCTCTGTAATTGATGTTGCTGATTCTGTTGGTCTGTTAAGTTTTGGGTTTGGCGCAACGAACTTCCTTCTTGAAACCGATTGGTATTGTTCTGTACAGAATCAAAATGTTGCTGTGAGCTTCTATTCTGAGGCAGCTGCTGCACGGGATGTTGCGCTCGGTATTGTTGTGACATCATTGGTTGAGATTGTCCAACTTGTTGACCTCTAGGCATATTTTGCTGCTGTTGTAAGGGCAAGGCTGAAGCATTATTAAGGCGTTGCGGGTGCATATTTTGGAGGTTATTGTTCTGTTGAGACGATGATACCCGAAAAGCTCCTTGTTGCGCTCCGTTGTTTTGTCGTGATGTTGGATGATTCTGCTGAACATTCATCAGTTGACTAATGAGTTGCTCTTGTTCTTGCCGTTTCTGTTCCTGGGACGGCAGAACCATCTGTTGTTGATGACTAGAACTGACCCGCTGTGTCGGAAACTGATGTCTTGGCAGTGATTGAGAGTTTTGTTGCATAGGAGTTTGTTGGCTTGATGATGGTAAACTAGATTGAGGGAAGGACTGCTGAACAGGTTGTTTTAACAGACTTTGCGGATGATGCTGCTGTTGCGGTGGCTGAACTTGTTGCTGCATGTGCGAAGGTCGTAAATTCTCATGGCAGATTTGATTCATTTGATGCTGTTGCTGCTGAGGAGGAAGCTGTTGCCTTCCCTGCATCGTTCTTTGAGAACCGGGAAGAATATTTATCTGAACTCCTTCACCAACGTGAATATTCACGTTTTGAGCGCCTGAAACGGTTATAGGGGCCTGACTTGGCAAACCAGAAGACCCCGGAATGTTGAGATTGCTCTGTGTGTTTTGCGGTAACCATTGTTGGCTTGTTGGAGTCTGCGTATATGGCAACGAGGCGGGAAGTGATTGCGCTTGATTCATAACTACTTGAGCTGCTATTCAGATAAACACAGAAAGAAAAAGTTAGTAAGTAATTTTATTAAGCTAAAATTGTATACAAGTTCTAATCCAAAGCTAAAACGTATCATTTCGAAACCAAAACTTATTACCTGAAGCTCGAGTATTGGTTCTGTTGACAGAAGAACCGAATTTCCCATTGTAAGTTTTATCTATATATTGCAGCTTTTCACTGAGTTTTCGAATGTAATCATGCTGAGACATAAGCAAAGGGTAAAGTAGTAAGATATCAAATTCAGATTCTCAAGGTAAAAGAAGGAAACCATTTGTGTTTTAGCACCTTATCGCTGGCTATGCTATAAAACTTCTCCTCAAATTTGGAAGCAATGTCTATAATCTTATATTCTTCATGCGTAGGACAATATTGCTTCAACTTTTCAACTCTACACATACATGAGAAAAAAATATCAATGACAGTTTGAATAATTTGGCGAAAATTCGTACCTACTATGGGAACATTCAAGTCCCTGAGCTAGACACCTTAGATAATGATTGCGCTAAACATGATAAACTATGAAGAATTTTGTTATAACTGATATTCTAGAGGAAGTGTTACACTAAGCATACAAAACAGAGAAAATAAGGTTAAAGAATATGCAAAACTTAAAAAGCACGAAAGGTTGAAGTTAGGTTATGTCACATTAATAAGGAACTATGATAAACATTTATGCACAACTCTTATGCTTTAACTGTTGCAATGTTTACTGGTGTAATGTAGGAATCTTTATCATGTGCAAGCTACAAGATCACATCGAAAGCATGACCAAGAAAACCTCCTTTCTCTCTTTCATAAATGTCAATAATCAAATAAGAACGATAAGTCCAACAAAAGAAACATGAAACTAATATAACTGAAACTCTTGAAAGAATGGCTTACATTTTTGAAAGAACCTTTTTCCGTAATTCAGGCTCATGTTGTGATCTCCAATCAATAGCATTATTCGCAGCGGAGTCTCCACCTTGTCCATTAGGCTTCCAGTTAATATTTCCCTCCATTAAGATGTATGGGCTTTGGCCAAGAACTCCTTTGATTAACCTTAACAAACAAACAAAAACGATCAGGGAAATTCCTCAACTGAAAACACAGAAAAGACATTATGAGGACAAGAAAACGACAAAAAGATTAAATTTCAACTTGTTAGTATTCAAAAATATAATAATCCAATTATCTAGCACTCAAACAAATACATTGGAGTTGTTAATACTGCAAATAACCAGTGATCATAAGCCCTCATAATGCCCTAAAAAAAAACAATGTGGTAGTTTGGTTCTGTAACGATATTAAACCTAAGTGTCATAAAACCAAAGTAATATACAACTGAAACGTGAAACCTTTGATGTTTGTGTAAGAAAACCTTAAACGATCAATTTCTGAGAAGATTTAGACCAAAATCGAGACAGAGATCACATTAACCGCAAACACGATCATTACATATAATTTTGATCAACGATAAATCGTACACAACCAAAAGCCAGAATCCGAAACCCTAAATAATTTCGACAGAGACTAGAAGAGACTCACAGATCGCCGAAGGAAGATCGAGAAATTGAGGAAGCAAGAATCGAGAATTGAAGGATTCAGAGGAGAAGAAGAGGAAACCTAAACGCTAAAAAGGAAAAAGAGCGGACAAATTGAAGAAGACTACACGTAGGAAGACTTACAAATCATATAATATATTTTAGTCTTTACTTTTTCTTTACTAACCGACTTTTGGGAATATATTTGAAGCGTGAAACGTGTAAAACTATCACTGAGACTCGGCCCGTTTCAGGAATAAATCTGTAAATTTTCTGATGTTTGAGATTGGACTTGGGCAACTAAGCAATAGGCAAGCCCACTCCCAATTTTGTTTATATTTTTTTATTTAATAAACAGTAAAACTTCTATAAATTAATTAATAATGTTGGAACCGTGAAATTCTATTAATTTATCGATAAATTTATTAATTTATAAAGATATTTTGTTACTTTTATAAATACTGAAAATAGTTGTCATAAAAAAAAGAGAAATTGTTAATAATACCCCTTTTGAGATACCCCTTTTCAAAAATACCCCTTTTGAAAGTCCATTTTTAAGTTTGCCCTCTTTTAATTTTTAATGACCATTTTACCCTTATTTGAAGCAAAATTAGATCGACAAAATACAAAATATTTTTTGGCGGGAAAAGTGATCCCGCAAATTTTTGGCGGGAAAAGTGATTCTGCAATTTTTTAGCGAAATTTTTTTGGCGGGAAAATTTTACAAGGTATTTTAAAGGTTTTACAGAGTATTTACAAGTGTTTTGTAAGGTTTTTACAATGTATTTTAAAAGGTTTTACAAGGTACTTATTAGGTTTTATAAGGTATTTATAACTTGTAAAACCTTATAAAAAACTTGTAAAACCTTATAACTTGTAAAACCTTATAAATAGCTTGTAAAATGTTATAATATCTTATAAATACCTTATAAATACGTTGTAAAACCTTTTAAAATACATTGTAAAACCTTATAAATACCCTTTAAAATACCTTGTAAAATGTTCCCGCCAAAAATTTTCCCGCCAAAAATTATTGCGGAATCACTTTTCCCGCAAAAAAAAATTTTTGGCGGGAAAATTTTTTGCGGGAACATTTTACAAGGTATTTTAAAGGTTTTACAAGTTTTTACAAAATCAAATTTTTAATTTTGATGTGTGCACATTCACGTGTTTTCCTTATATATTTGTAATGTCTTTTACTAAAAGAAGGGTAATTTAGTCAGTTTGTACATAAAAAAAGGTATTTATAAAAAGGGAAAAAATCCGAAAAAACCGCCATCTATTTTTTATTTGGCCGTTTAATACCTGTACTTTTAAAATTGGAATAAAAATTCCTTCTTTATTTTTTGTTGTCTTTTAAAAGCTTCGTTTTTTTAAACTTGGTAATTTGGTACCTGTGAGTTAACGACTGTTAACTTTGCTAACGGAAGCACTAACCAGTGGCGGAGGTAGTGAAGAGGGAGGGGGGTCAATTGACCTCCATAACATTTATGATTTTTTTGTTTTTTTAAGGTAAGTGACAATAATTTATGGATATTTTAGTTTAATTTTTCCATAATGACCCCCATGCCAACAATCAATTCCTTAATTTGACCCCTCACATGTTTATTTTTTATTTAGCATTAATTTATTTTCCATTTTTTGTTTTATATATTTTCTAATATATGGCTACAAATCTCTAAAATCATGGTACATATTAATTTTTTAGATATATTATATTTTTATCCTTAGTTTTTTTTTATTATTTTTTTTAGAAATATTTTTTTTAGTTTAAAATAAATGATTTAATATTAATATATAATTAAATAAAAATAATTAATTATATATGACCCCTATAAACTAAAATTCTAGCTCCGCCACTGGCACTAACTGCGGTTAAAACGTAACCCATGGTCTTTAAGTATATATATACATTCTCGTTTCATAACTTTCCGAATATATTGTCCTAGTCAGGTGGTTAAACGTGGAGTTGGCTATCTTTCTTACCCTAGATCGATTCCTCCATTTGTGTCTTGTTTGCTCTCATCCCAATCCGCGGAGAAGCGAATCACCGCCGTGATTGAAACTTGCTGAGATTTGTCAACCCGGTTACTGCCTTCCTCCGCCAGTAACTGAGCCGCCGCTGCTGCCGTACAATTTCAATCACTTACATCACTTTTCCCGGCGGTAGATCTCCAATATTGTCATCTCCGTACGTCCACCAGAAAGCCGTTACGATCCATAACGATGTTAATCTGAAGAAGGAGACTTTAAGGCTCATACCCGACCCGGAGAATCCGAATCAACTTCTTGTCTCCTTCACATTTGACCCAGAAGTTTTTAATTTCAAACTTTGAAATTATCAAATTTTGCATATGCCCTTGTTAATTTAGTTATAGTTTGAATCTTGTTTGAATCAATCAACGTATGGAGTAAAATAAATGACTTTGCTTTTGTTATTTTGGTTGGGGAGAACAGGATCACAGTTGTTTTCTTTGCTACAAAAGATGAAGATGAAGATCCGCATCTCCGCAAGTTTCAATCAGGGAAAAAAATAAAAACAATTTTCTTAAAAACACCACGTGTAACCACCTGACTAAGGCAATATATACTCAAAAGTTAGAAAAGCAATTGTATATATATATACTTAAAGACCATGGGTTACGTTTTAACCGCAGTTAGTGCTTCCGTTAGCAAAGTTAACAGTCGTTAACTCGCAAGTACCAAATTACCAAGTTTTAAAAAACGAAGCTTTTAAAAGACAACAAAAAATAAAGAAGGAATTTTTATTCCAATTTTAAAAGTACAGGTATTAAACGGCCAAATAAAAAATAGATGGCGGTTTTTTCGGGTTTTTTCCCTTTTTAAAAATGGACAGGTAAAGGGGGCATTTTTGAAAAGGGGTATTAAAAAAGGGGCATTTTTGTGAGTCTCCCTAAAAAAAATTGTGTTTTTTTGTTATAATCAATATTTTTTTAGAACTAGTTACAAGTTAAAAACACTAATTATGTATAAAAAACAATAAAAAAAATTTTAGATGCAATTTTTAAAAAATATTAAAAATGAACTCTACCAAGAGATAATGTAAATGTTTTTAAAAAAAATAATACTAGAGTCATATTACCTAATTTTTTATATAATATATATATATATATATATATTGAAAATTTAATATAATTATTAATTTATTATATTGATTGGACCATATGTTTACATAAGATTTTTTAAAAAGTTATTATTTTATTATTTTATTGATTTATGTCACTTTTTACACTCGTCCCAACTCGGAACTAGAAAAAATTATTAATTTATAGAGGTTATTTATTTATCGAGTATTAATTTATTTAAGTTTTATTGTATTTTGGAAATAAAATAGTTATGACTTTGAATAAGAATAAACAAGGTTGAATGTAGTTTGACCAAGAAGTTAAGACCATCACGAATGGTAAGAACCCATGAAGGGTTTTTTAGCAAATTTTTTTCTTTTAAATTTTGGATATTTCAAAGTTTAGAAACTCTTGAAGAGTTCTTAAGAAATACTTTATCCAATGGTAGAACAATGAGAGGTTCTTAAAAAAAATTGAAAATAAAATTTGGAGTTTTAAAGTTTTAACTTTTAGGTGTATGTAATTTGGTGTATTGGGACAAAGTAATTGGTTTAGAACCTAACACAGACTCAAACCTCTCCAATGCTTCCTCATATTTACCATTCCTACATCATAATACAGACATGTCAATGCTCACATTCCGGTTCCTAAAAACCCTTACTTGAACACCCAAATCAGATGTATCCAAGCCTGGAAGCAGCAAAAAAGAAGAAAGCAGATGAGGAAGAGATTGAGAAGGAGAAGAAAGAAGAAGACGCTGCAACTGTACCTGCGGAAGCAACACTAGTAGAGCAGCCCTGTCGATTTGAGTATCATCAACCTCATTGATAACTGCTCAGAGCTAAAGACATGGATAACTGCTCGGAGCAAAATACATGGTGAGATATGCTCGCTATCGGAAAGTCACGGACAAGAGAGAGACGACAGATAAATGAAAAATACGGTGATGATTTTTTTTGTCATAATATTCCCACCCAACCAGATGATGACACGTATGGGATTCTTAACATTTCTAAATTTCTTATTTAAGGATCCGTTCTTACTGTAATTTGGCTTTTTGATTATTATATTTTGCTTTTTATGTTAAGAAACCTATCTAAGAACTCCTTAAGAGCCTCCATTGGAGGTGCTCTAAGAGCCGAGGCCTCTCCATTTTTTTAGAGAGAGAAACTCTTTCTTCCGCCGTTCGGTGAATCCGGCAAAGCTGTCTGGTTGTTAAACCGGCTTCAATCCAACATCCTCCGGCTACTATAGTGGTGATTGGTTGGATTTTCACGGGCGTCGTTGGCTCCCTCAGCAACGTCGGCCAGTTTTCTCTATGTCAGCGATGGCTCTGTAGCATCGTTTGGTTGGTTGTTGTCTCCGGAATGTGTCGGCTTTCTATGCGATGATATCCGGTTTGGTTTCTTGTAATTCCGATGTTGTCTTTTCAGTGGTTACAGCCAGTTTTGCGCCGGTGTTAGATCTGGTTTCTTTGTTTCTGTTTTACTTTTAATAATTTTCAATGAGATGTGTTGGTGATAACTGTGAGAGCAATCTCAAATTCTATTGCTTTTTATCCAATCCGCTCTCTTTTGAGTTTTGATTTGTAGAAATATATATAGAGATTTGTGTTTTAAGTTGAAGAAAAGAAGTGGATTTCGTCGCTTATTATCATTCCCTTAAGATGTTTGTTTCTTAACTGGAGCCTCAGTTCTTTTCTACCGGTGAAAATCAAAAGTATCTATGTTGATAGTATTATCGGTGGTGATTCCGTCACTAGAATCGATGCTCGTCGGACGGAAAAGATGAAGTCGGCTCACTTTTAGACTTCTCATCTAACACGTATATTGGTTTTTCACCAATTGATGACACGTGGTTTGAGATAGAAACAAATTCTACTTCCATCTTCTGTAGGAAATTATCTCTATGGGTCTATTTGGGTCTAAATCATTTTGGTAATCGTTCACATTGAATGGTTTTCCTTAGGCCTTGTATGGTTTGATATGTTTAATACAA